AGATAGATAGATAGATAGATAGATAGATAGATAGATAGATAGATAGAAAGATAGACAGAACACATGCACTTCTGCCCTCTGAGAGACTAAAAATGGAAATTTATGTGTGATTGAAAGACTTTTTGACCTCTTCCTGATGCTCACACACACCTAATGCATTATGAACAGGATTTAAAGCTTTCGTTTACCCCCTGAAGCTGCATTTGCTGATACGTATTTTTCCCCAGGAGGTTTACGTGGGAAAGGAGACGATGTGCACGGTGGACGGGCTGCATTTCAACAGCTCCTACAACGCCCGGGTGAAGGCCTACAACGCGGTGGGCGTGGGGCCCTACAGCAAAACCGTGGTGCTGAAGACCTCCGACGGTGTGTGTGTGTAGATGTTTTCTGATTTATCGCTCATCTGCTCTTTTTATTTAATTATTTCCTCCTGATTTCCATCCTCTCGTCCATTCCATTACCCTCCCTTTTTGCTCAAAATTGAATGATAACTGAATGCTGACAGTAATGTTGTTAATTAGGCACCAAACAAACAATGTGTGTGTATGTGTGTTTGTTTTCAGGACATATCAGGACAATTTTTTGATAGCACACCTCGTTTTTCTACAAGTTATTGAATCATGTTTGAAAGATTTTTATCTCCATTTCTTTTAAAACATTTTTAATGTGAATTTAATGTCTTTTTTTTTTTACCCTGGTTAGGATCTGTGTATATTGAAGGATGTAAATGAACTTCTCACACATCTTTATCCAAGCATTTGATGGAACTTTCTCCCCTTGAACAAACAAACAAACAACAAAACAAACAAAATCTGGTCTAAACTTACAGTTCTGAGGCAGAAATCACAAACCAATGGTCAACATTTGTCTGAGTTGGACCTACATGAGCTTCTTTCAACCAGGAATAAGCTGCACACCAAAATAGATGTTTTCTCTTTCCACTGACTGATTCCTTCTCCTTTCACCAGTGGCTTTTTTCACCTTTGACCCCACCTCGGCCCACCGGGACATCGTCCTGTCCAACGAGAACCAGACGGTGTCCTGCAATAGTTACGACGACCGCGTGGTTCTGGGAACCGCCGCCTTCTCCAAGGTGAGCCGGCCTTCTGCTCATATTATGCTAATGTATATTAACTCATTGGCTGCCAAAGACGTCTATAGACGTCTTTTATGTTTTTCAACGAGAGTGGCTTGGGGGACGATCGGCGAAAGTTTTTCCGTAAATATCGGCTTCTAGACAGAGTATGTAGTAACAAATTGACCCTCTAGGGGGCAGTGCCACTTTTAATGGGAGATTAGCATAGACTGTAGGCAAATAAGAAAAAGGTAACGGTTCTATGAGAGAACATGTCGCCGGTGAGACGCACGTCGAAGAACGGAATAAGGTAGAAACAAAATCTTTTTTCCTGATGAAAGAAGAGAGTCTACTCTTTCTTTTGGTGTGTTCGGTGTTTACATAGTCATAGCACAAACTATTCTGTGGCTCTGGAAAAATCAGTCAAAATGCTCAAAAAACTCTGGCAGTATGGGACTCTCTGTTCTGAAAATGGCTGGCAGTCAATGAGTTAATTTTTGGAATAGATTTGACTTCACAAATTATTCTAAAGTGTTTATACATCTTAAGCAATCATGGACATGTCTCGTTTCATAGTCATCTGAGCAAAGATTGGTTGCTAAATTTTTTTTCTTTTTTTCTTTTGTTGTTTCTTGTGTTTAATGTGGACAATTTACCAAAATAAAGTGATTGATTGATTGATTGATTGATTGAAATTGTTGCCACAACGCGAGGTAGTCATTCAAAGAAGGTTCTATTTGTATGTGCAACTATGAAGGCCTGAAAATCTTTTACAAATTCTGTTTGTTTTGAAAACCTATAGAACCTCAGTTTCATTAAAAAAAAATTGGTTTTAGAGCATTGTGGAATTTTCCGTTTAAACAAAAATCTTGGTCTGAGGAGGTGAGAAAAATAAATGTATTCAAAGCAAAACTTCAAACGAAATACTTTATTGCTCAGAAAATCGAGAATAACAGAGGAAAACCTCAAGCAAACATACATAGTGTTTTTTGTACAATGACAATAAAGGAAAATCTAAGTCTAAGTGTATCTTGCCCCCCTTTCCCTCTCAGGGCATTCACTACTGGGAGGTCAGCGTCGATCGCTATGACAACCACCCGGACCCGGCCTTCGGGGTGGCGAGGATCAACACCCTGAAGGACATGATGCTGGGAAAAGACGACAAGGCCTGGGCCATGTACGTGGACAACAACCGCTCCTGGTTCATGCACAACAACTCGCACACCAACAGGTGGGTCTCCGCACAGTTTTATAGGAGAATGTCCAGAGGAGGGAAAAGGAATCAGTAAAAAGATTCACTGAGGCTCAGTGTCTGCTTTTCATCGATAGTTCAGGGCGACAGCGATCTTTCTTTTACTGTTGTGTCATTTCCTTT